CAAGCTGCAGCATGACGAAGCCAGAATCTATCAACCTCGAGAGTCTCCCAAACACATTTGCCCCAGAAAAACCCGAGAAAGGGCTGAAAGGGGCACCCAGAGGATCCAATCATGCCTTGGGGGCGTCCCGCCCGGGGATGCCCCTGCGACAGACACTTTCTCACGGTTCTCACGTCATCCTAAAGGCATCTGCCTTCTGCTTGCTGCGACTTTAGCTGCGATTTTCCAATTTGGGGTTGTAGTGAGGCTCGTGTGCTTCAAGCGAATCTCCCAGACACTGGCATGGGGCATTTCTGCAGTTGCGACAGAGATGGTCAGATGGTGCTAGCACGCGGTGTCTTGCAAAAACGAAAAAACAAAAGTGCACCTTTAGACATGAAATCCTCTTCTGCATGTCCCCTCTTGCAGGCGATAGGAATAGCTGACAATCCGGGCACGTGAGACAACGCAGTAAGCTCCATTCGCTCTGAAACTGGCGATGATGATATCTCCGTCGCCCAGAACCGTCCAGAAGCGTGTAAGCCGGTTCACGCAGCCCCCCCACCACCACAAAAAAAACAAAATAACAAAATAAGTCCTAAAAACCTAGCCGCTCACCTCCAAATCAAACAAAGCCCAGCGCTGCCCAGTGACTGAAGCAGCAAAGGTTTGAGGCACCTTGGGCTGGGAAAGTCTTGGGGGCTTCGGGCTTCAGATCGTAGGGAGGACGCAGTCTCCTTGCTGTCGAAACTGGGGCTTTCAGAGGCTTAGGGCCCCCTTTGGCGAATTCCAGATCTGAGGTCCAGAATGAGGCGTTAAATGGTAAACTTGCGTCTCGGGCACCGCTGAGGCCAGAGGGCTGTGGCCAACACGCCAAAGGCGTTGCCTGCGCGGCAGAATCGATCCCCAAGCCTCAAGCCGTGCCCCAGACTCACGAAGATTCCCCCAAAGCCTGAAAAAAACCCCCAAATTTGCGTATCACCTTTCAACAATCCACCAAAGCCAGTTACTAGCAGGGGATACTACAAACACTGCCAATTCCTCCAAACCCTTCGATGCCCAGAGCGGGTGTCGGAGCTTGGAGGGCTTGGAGGGCTTGGAGGGCTTCCGGGCCAACGCCACCATGGGCCCTAAACTGCGAGACGTCCCCTGCAACCCACCGAAAGCCTGACGTCCGAGCACCCCGGATCCCTCGAATCTTAAGGCTTCTAGTCAAGAGGAGCCCAGCACTCTCTGCATTCAGACGGACTCAGAAATTCTGAAAAACGATAGAGAGAAGTACACCTTAGCTAGTTGGGCCAAAAAGCCAAGCTGCAGATCGTTGTGACCGCCAATGCGTGGCCCATGTCACTCCTGCAACATCTTTAGGGGGAACCGGGAAGTCCTTAAAGCACCGTAAACCCCGGTAAACCCCCCCCCTCCTTAGAAGAGCTCCTGAACTCCGGGGTCTGCGCGAAAGGAAGCAGCGACAAAACGCAGCCCACGGCGGCGCCGAGGGCCAGTGGAGCCACGAGCCAGCGACCTGCGAGTTCTGGGCTGTTCTAGAGCATAAGGCTTAAGAAAAGGCACTACAGGCAATATAGCGGCACGTTCTGGGCTTCGTTCGGGCTCTTCGAAGGGGCCTCGAGAGACGGGAGGTTTGGTGGCTGGGGGCTTCAGGGGTCCACAGCATCAAGAGCTTGGATGCGGGGGTCTGATGTCTTTGGTAGCCTGAACGCAGGGAGGACACCAGATCTTGTGAGAACCGTTAAGGACCCCGATTACAGTAAATGATTACAGGAGCTTGGGAACCACCCTTGTGATCTCCGCTCCTTCTCTTCTGGAGGCGTAGGGGACGTTTTGTTTCTTTTTGTTAGGAAGTTTAGGGCCCCAGGAACGCAGCAAAGTGCTGCAATGTGCTGCCCAGCTGCAGAAAGCTCTGGTGGCTTTGTGTTTTTCTGCACGAGCCGGCATCAGAAAGACCTTCCTCATGGGTTGCCATGTCTCAGCGTGCATTTGGAGATTCATGGGTTCTAAGGTAACATTTGCTTGGGCAACCCATGTGTGCGCTTGAGATCTTTGAAGTCTAGGAGGGTCGCTTCAATGGGATGCCTGACACCTCTACACCTACAGCATCACCAGCATGAGACGAGACGCATCTCGATACATCGATGCAAAACACTTCAGGTTGACTGCGAGAGCCTGAAGAAAGCATGCTTGACATATTCTTGCTACAGAAATCCAAGCCGAGCTTCTGCAGCCTTGTAGCCAGGTAAGCCTCGTAGACCTCTTGCGTGCCACAACTCCCCACCCTCACCGCGGCACCCACCCCCGGCCGCACCATACACTGAAGCGGAGGAAACGAGAACAGACCAGAAAATAAGTGAGAATGCGATAATAAGAGTGCCCCCAAGTACATGCCTGAATGGCGGAAGTGAACAAGCTAGTGAAAAAAGTACGGCACCGCTCAACACTACTGCATGGTCAAGGTGCGCACCACAAGCGTGAGTACACCGCCACCGTGCTGTTGGGAACGACCACGACATGCGACGCAACCTTCAGCGCATCTGCGAAGGGGCTGACCTGGCGGAGCTTGAGCTGCCCTCCCAAGCCCTTTTTTTGCAAAGGTCACAAAAAATAGGAAGCACTTGAAAGAAACCCAAGCCCAAGGCACCGAGGGTGCCACGTCCAACAGCTCCGAGATGTCCAGGTTCTGCGGATTGGCCAAGAGGCCTCGGATTTAGGGCGCTCCCCACCACCCCTGAACGCTGAAGTCACGCTCTCGTTGGAACTCTTCTTTCAACAAATTTGTTACGAGGTGCAGCAGTAAAGGTTCCGCTTCCCGACTGGCCAGGCGCGAGCCACCGCATCCGCGAACCTCGGGCGGAGGTAGCCCCCATATCACCCCCAATCCCAACAGGAATTTGGCACAAGCCTCACGCCACAGCCCTCCATCATCCTCCATCCCTGCGCACTGTCAGAGTTCCCCAAAAATCCTGGATGGGGGGATCTAAGTTATGAGCCCTCGTGGCTACCCTAAGCGAGAAGGCACAACCCTGAGCGGACACAGTAAGCCTGAAGCCCAAGCTCCGACGGAAGTCGGCCTTTGGCCCAGCTGCTCGAAGACACCCTCGGCCCAGGCGTGGGAGATGAAGACTTCGCCTGGGCAACTTCTGGAGTGCGAGACTCCGTCAAGCCGTAGAGACTAGCTTTAGGTCTACATAGGCGTTTGAAGTCAAGGATCCAGAGTGACCGCGAAACTCAGCAAGTAAGCCCGAAAAACCAATACTTCTCTGCGGTTGCCCTAGGCCTTAGGCTCGGCCATGTCTTCGGGGAGCGGCGAAGAGACAGACAGGAAGATGAAAGGGTTGAGGCCGCTTCTTCAACGCTACTCCGTGCCTTCCTCAGCCTGAACGTGCGCAAGCCGAACCTGCAAGCCACCGTGTTGAACCGTTTTGTCACTATCTAGCTAAGATGGAAAAAGTTCCGAAACGCCGGGTAGGGCCAGGTCGCAGTGCAAGCCCCTCGGATGCAGCATCAGGGCATAGCTCATGCCGCCAGCAGCAAGCGTGAGAGGCCTTGCAGGTGCCGCAAAACCACATGACTCGGATGATCCAAAAACAACTCAGCTCCAAAGACTTCACTTGCCCGTGATTTGGGTCACTTTATATAAGTGCGGCCGTGCAACTTCACAAAGTACTCGTTCACCTGGTACCTTGGTCCGCGGCTTTCGGCAATGGTGTGCCGACCCCTTGAAACCTGAAACCCTGCGCTTGGAAGCTTTCCAGCCCCAATGCAAAAACGACAACATGATATTCAATAAGGATAGCAAAGCAAAGCCCCCCACCTGGACCACAGATATTCCGCAGGCCAGCAAGGTGGAAAGTTTGTGTTTCACACCAGACAGGTGGCATGCTGACAAAAGAGAGAAATTGACAACAAGCGGAAGCACTAACAACAGCAAACTCGACTGCGAGCGTCTCAGGAAGCACTGGCATCTCCCACACCAATGCCCACAATGACCCAGACTACGAAAGAGAGGCAAGCCACATGTTGGGCCCGTGCCGCGGGTCATGATGCCGCCCATTGCTGTGGAAGGAGTTGTCCGGAATGCGGCCTGCCAAGCGGTGGCAAGGGCTTTAACCAGTAACAATAATGACAACAAGCACGATGAACCCATTTCTATCAGGGCGAAGCAGCCAAGGCCCTACTGTACCAGCCAGTCGGATGCTGTTCAAGGTCTGGGCTCGCCGGAAAGCCCCTCCCCGGTTGGCACCTGCATGCCACTCTTTGCGGACCTCGATCACGAAGCCTGGGAAATCACTTGCTTCCTTGAGGATGCCAAACCTCACTGATGCCGACACGGCACGCTTCAGCTGGTCGAAGGTCACGCACCACATGTGAGGCGGCACCCCTCAACGGACGAGGGTTACTTGTGGTTTGGATTCGAGGTTTCGAGGCCACAACAAAAGGCCGTAAGGACGACATCCCACCAGTAGCCTTTGATAGGTTCGAGGCGTGTGCATGGCATGTAGAGGCGCTGCTCCTGGAATGAACTTTGTGAAGCCCCCAACACCTTCAAGACTCTCTCAAACGCCGTCCGGGAGGCGGCGGTGCAGCTCCATGCCAGCAGCCACACTTGGCGAGACGGCCATGGCTGGGACGAAGCACCACCCCTACACACCAAACAGGTTCCACAGTTTCAGGGCTTCAGGCTCGGGGCTTGGGAGCTGGAGCTCGGAGAATATTCCCCAACATTTTCTGAAGGAAGGTGCCTTATTGTGCTTTGTCAGTCCTTTCAAAGCTATCAACGCTGCGGCGGCGAGTGCAAGAAGCCCGTTACATCACGGCGCCATTCAACGCAAAATTTAAATGGGGCCCACAGCGGCTCTGCTGCTCCAACACCAAAAAACTCTGAACCCAGAAGGCTTAAGCCATTGAAGCTCAAGGGCTTGATTCTGCACAGGGTTCTTCCACAGTTCCGAAAACTTCGGCTCCCTAGGCAGAGCCTGAAACCGCTAAGATGAGTGCAGCCGAGAATCTGGAATCGGATCGTCCAAGACGGCCTCTAATTCCTTCGCGTGGGTTGAAGGTGCCCGAACCCCTTTGCATGCCCTTTGCCGAGACCCTCTCCTTTCAAGTCCCAGCCTTCGATGGTTGACATTTCTGGGGTGCATGTCCAGCCCAAACTGTTGGGTCGGCGTTTTGCTTCAGGTCTCAAGGCTCACAGAACCCTCCCCAAAAAGACTCAAATGAGCTTCTTTCGGGGGATGTATTGAGAAGATTGAAATGGGCCGTTTCCAAGGCCAGCATGCCCCCTTCCACCTTCAAAACAAACACCTTCTTCTTCCAGAACGTCTATCCACAAATCTGTCTGTGTGTCTCGGGCCATCTTTCTATCATCTGACTCACCTGACCTCAGCGAAGGCTGCGCCGCGTTGGCCCATTTGCGTCAATGCCTCGACAGGGGCATGGGGGTTGAGGAGTATGGGTTTGGGATGTGCTTTTTTTCACCTTTTTTGGATCAAATAGTTAACTGTCGGGCGTCGGGCTGTAAGGGGCTTGCATATTCTTATGTCTTTTTGTGTCATATGCGTACACGCAAGTATACTGTTCTGTAAAAAAGCACTCAAGAGGCACAATGCCAGCGCCTGCGTCTAAGAAGACATTGCGGTTCCCTCTGCGTACACTGGACAATGCTGACAGACAGATTACATGGTTGATGCTGGGTGTTTGCTATGTTGGAGTTGCATTTGTACTTCTGGGGCCTTTTGTTCGAAAGTGCTGGCATTTGGTTTGCCGTGCCAAATCTACATCCTATGGAAATCATGTAGCCGCTTGAAACGACAAGACATCATCCGAAGGTCTCAAGTGCTCCTAGATTGCCGTCCAAAGACGTCATTGCCAGAATCCCACCGAAAGACGTGAATTCCGTCTCTGTATGCCCCCGTGCCTCCATCGCCGCGAGGCGGAGTCTTGGTTTGGGGCTGAAACTTAGATTTCAGGATAAAGGCTTAAGTTTGAAGGATTGAAGGCTTCACGCTTGCAACGATGGGTGTCTTCTCGTCTTGCGCGAATCCATCCGGGCGACTTGTCCTCTCCGCCGGCAGTGAGGCGGCAGACCTCAAAAACCAAGCACAGAACCCTGAACCCTGTGAACTCTGTGAACTCTGAAAGCACTCTATTCAGCTTTCTTCAGTTTATGTAAGAACGGATTGGGCTGCCCCGCTGCTAAGGAGCACTCTACAGCACTCTGCAGAGCGTATCCAGTATCCCTGCCAACAACGAAACACCTAAACCCCGAACCCCGCCCTCTCCTCTCGCCGCTGACCCATTAAAGCCACGGGGCAGTCCTCACCATGGAGGTACCCTAGAGCCCGAAGACCGCAAGCCCCTAGCACCCCATCCCACAGCCCCCTTTTCTCCTGCCTCGGCGGCGAAGCGGTGCCCTGCGGCGCCGAAGCGCGGCAGGGCCTCGAGGGCCGCCACCTGTATTAGGGGTTTAGAGGCGTTTAAGGGCTTGCGGATGCTTATAGGGGTTTAGGGGTTTGGGCATGGACCTATCCCTTGGGGTGAGGGTTCTTGGGCTTTGGCTTGGGCTTGGGGCTCAGATCTCTGGCAGAAAGGGGGCGCTGGCGGCTCCAGGATGTTTGGGAGCTTCATGAGATCTTCATGAGCTTCGCAGGTTGCGCTGGCTCGGTGCTCGGGGCTGAGGTCCATGTTGGGTTGATGCTTCATGGGTTTGGGGTTGACCCGCTGTGTCGGGGATCCCATGAGCCGAGGAGTTGTGCAGTGCTTACCGGTGACTAGCAGTGGCAGCCTGCGAGGGCAAGTTCGCCACGGTCCACATCCCCAGCGGCTTTTTCTAGGGCTTGGGACTGAAGGTGTTGGGCTTTTGCGGGAGGGTTCTGTCAGCTTGTGACCTCAATCGGCTATCGGAATCGTTTATGCTGCAAGCGAAACATTTTCAAGCATGTCGAACAAGTGAGAACTGCCAGGTTGCGAGCTACTGTTGACCTCTCTTTGCATGTAACTCCACAACTCCCAAGCTCCCAAAACCAAACCCTCAGCGTCACGGGAAATCAAACTCGTCGCACTAAGCCCTCAAATCCCGTGTCCCGGCCTGCACGGGGAGCATCTTGTCGTCCAGGAGCTGGCTGACAGGCGCGGCGAACTCCTGCCGAGTCTATCCCAAGCACAGACTCCAAGCCATGCCAGCCGGAACCTTGAGACCCCCTTTGCACCTGAAAACGCTCACTTGGTTCTCGCTAAAATGTTTTAGTTGGGCCTGGGCTGACTTGGGGCTGGCCTGCGCCAGCTCGCCCATCTGCCCAAGAGACGCGGTCGCAGCGCTGCGAACCGTGTGCCGAGGGTCCTGGCAGGGCCACTGACGGATGCCAAGGATGCGTTGGGTGGGGGCTTTATAGGGGCTTAGGTGTATTTGGAGTTTGCAGTCGAGAGGCAGCCAGGGATTCGCCCATACGAAGGATCCGAAACATTAGTGCTGCCACTACGGCGGCTGCATGTGACGGCGAACCACCAGTCACAGTCGCAATCCGATAATTGTTCACACATTCTCAAGCCATTTTGGTTATCCTTCAAGAGTGGTGCCACGGCCGCTGCAGACGCAGACCCCGGCGAAGCGAAGGAGAGCGCGAGGGCGCAAGCGGCCACCATTAACGGCGAGGGGTCCTGGCTTGTGAGTTGTGAGTTGCAGGAGAAAGGGCTCAAGCTTTGATGCCACACAGGCAGGCAAGGCAAAGCCCTGCCAGCTTGTTAGCTTGTTCCAGGCTGAGCGGCCTACTCTTTGAATCGAACTGCGGGCCCCTGCGATGTGGGCCAAATCACGTACATAAAGGCCCCAGATCGCCCCACAAAGCCCCTCCAAGCCAAAAGGAACCCTCCCCAGCCCCGACCTCCAGCCCCTTGCGCAGCGCCGGTGCAGCCTCGAGCGCGCCCAGCCGGCCCAGGGCCTGTCGCTGCTTTTCCTATATCTCGGAAGCGGGAGAACGAGGCTCGGGTGGGTAAGGGGTAAGGGCTGGGGCTCATGGTTTGGGGTCCAAGTCTTCACAAAGGTGGGGGATCCTCAGCCTGAAAGTCGCTCCTCCCAAAACCCCCAAACCAAAACCCCAAACACTACGAACCCTAAAGGGCCTGAAACTCGCAAGGGTCTAGAGCTCGCCCTAAGACCCTCATGCTCCAAGAGCCCCTCAAACCCCTCAATCCCCGCAAGCCCCGCAAGCCCCGCAAGCCCCGCAAGCCCTAAAGCCCCGGCACGCTCGTACCCCTACATCAGAAACCCCGAGACACAAAACAACTTCTACAATCCTGCATACGTCTGGAAGCTTTAAGCAGGATCTAGAACCCTCGTCTCAGGCTTGCTTGGGCGTCCGTCTTGGCCCACCGGGCCTCAGCGGAGGCCACGCGTATCTGAGCGAGCTGCTGCAGCACAGGATGTTTAGCATCAACAAACTCTTTGCCTATCTCGACGTCTATTTACATACTGCGAGAGAGGTGGAGGGAGGGAAGGTGAGAGAGTGCAAAAAATGAAATTATAGAAAATAAAAAACGTGGAGCTGAGGGTTTTGGGTTCAGGGCTTAGGGTTTGAGGTTGGTTTAGGATTCTGGGGTTTTGGTGTGTGAGCGTGCATGGCTCGACTGGGCAGGCTTTGGAGTTTTCGGGTTTGGGATGTTGGGGAGCTCGGGTCTAGGGCTGAGGACGTTGAAACCCATAACCCCCAAATCCACGATCCTATACATGCCTAAGACGAAGCTTTCTAAGAGTCAAAGTCAAGTTCCCAAAGCCTGAACTGAACCCCTAAACTGCCCTAAGCCTCTAAATATCAAGCCCCTCCACCCCCCCAAACCCCCATCCACACCCAACCACTCCCCGTGCCTCCACGTCGGCGGCGCCGAGGCGCTCAGCCAGTTGCGGCGCGGCCGCCTTGTCGCCGCAGGCGCCCAGGGCCTGGAAAGCTCAGGGTTGAGACGGAGACGATGTCTTTGAGGAGTGAGGGGTTGAAGCAGCAACAGCCTTGAGCCTTGAACCGATGCCCGTACTCTTGCATTTCAGGGTTTTAGCTACAGCTACAGGTTTTGCTGTAGGCCGAATGGCAAATGTCCGCTTACGCCTCAAAGCATCTTGCATCTGAAAAGCTGGTGCTGGGACCTCACAACCTCTCGACCAGAAGCTGAAAGATCAACTGTCAACCACCCCCTCGACGAAAGAAAGCAGCCATCACTAGAAACCCCTGAAGGAGGAGCGTAACCTCGCAGAACCGGTGAAGGGTTAATGCAGAATGGGCTTGTGGGAGGGCCTCAGCGGCAGCCACTGCAGGCTTCCGCAAAGACGCAGGCACCTGATTGACGGTTGCTAGGCTTGAGGCCCTGGGTCGGGGCCCTGGGTCCAGGGCCCGGACGCCGGGCCATGGGTCCGAACACCTGAACTCCTAAGCTTCGCACCCCCTACATCTCACCACATGTTCCATCCTCGGCACCTCGGCACCCGCACCCGAGGCGCAGAGGCAGACCGCGGAGGCGTCCTGCTCTCCCAGGAGAGCTTTTGGGCTCTGGCTCTTGGGCCTTTGGAGATGCGATGATGTCTCGCTAGGGCCTTAAGCAGCTTGGCAGCTCTGCCTAGTTTGCCTAGTTTTCATTGGTTGGGGAACCACTGACCGACAAACTAGGCACACATCCCCCTCCTTCATTCCCTCAACGAGGCTGACCCTCCTTGGTACTGCTGAACAAAAAGCACATACACGTATACTACGTATACAGAAACCAAAGGCCCCTTGCGCCAACCCTGCTCCTCCGCATCGCTTTTCAGCAGAGCTTCCAAAGCTGCAGCATGCCCCTGGACACAAGCGGCGTAGGATTTCGAGGATTTCGTGGCTTTGGTGGGGTGTGGCTGAGACCGTGTACGACCTAGAGGCTTCAGGGCTCATACAAGGCTTAGGTTTGTAAGATTGGTGTCTTTGAATGTGGGGTTTGGCCGTGTAGGGCGAGCTGTGGAGGTTTTGCATGGGTCTTTGGGGCTTTGTAGTTTTTGTTTAAGGTTTGTTCGAGGTTGATTTTATGCTTGTTTTGGAAGTGGCGTTGCAAGGCCGAAGTCAGGCAACCTATGGCAATAGCTGCAGCACGGGGAGCAAACCTTCTCAGGGCTTGCTTGCCACGGGTCACATGGAGGCTAGACGCGCAGGCTTCCCCAATTTCCTTCCCCCTCCTATGATTTCCGGTGATTTTCTACCCACAAGTGCCTCGTGACGCGTCGGGGTCACAATTAGCACAGCTTTCCTAACACAGCTTTATTTGCACTCAGATTGAGGCGACCAGGCGCTCAAGAGGCTCGGATAGTTCTCTTCAGGGTATATCGGGCTTTTGGACGCTCTTTTGGCGGATGGAAGCTCTTCATGCTACCTGGCTCATACAGTACTTTAAGTTGGTCGGCCCAAGCCCGAAAGCTAGCAGATTCCAAGGTTCAGTTCTGTAAGCCTCAGAAAAATGCGGACAAAACCCTTCAACCCCCAACCGCTAATGGTGGCTCGTCTGCCACTACATTGCCGGCCTTTGCGGGCGCCCCGAGCCCGGCCAGTGCATGGGCGGCGCAGGCCGCCACGCCGGGGGCTCCTGCTTCTAGAGGTAAAGGGACCCTGTTCTTATCCAAGAGTTTTCTCCGACTAGTTTAGGTATACAGGGACTCCATCATAGAGTACAAACGGAGCCTTTGAAGGGCGTCTGGTGGGGTTCAAGGCTTCAAGGGTGTTCTGGGTTGTGGAGCTCATGGTCACGGATGTTCTGGGTCAACACTGTCAGACCAGTCTGGAGCCCCGAAGCCCCTATTTTTTTGGACCGAAAGAAGCCTCTCCAGCCGTAAACCACAGTTCTTTCAAAGCCCTCGAAACGTTGCAACACTCGCCCTTAAGAACTCCTTTAAACCCAGGCCTGGACCAAGACTCAAAAGTCTTGAAGCTCGTGTGCCCTGACTCGCGGCGCTCCTTTCAGCAGCGCTGCTAAGTCGCCACTCCGGCTGCTGACGGCCTGCGAAGAGTCACCGCTGTCGGGTTTGGATGTTTTGGGGGGGATACCGTCTTTGCGGGTTCACTACCTAGTGTATACCAAAAACATCGCAGGGGGAACCCCTTCTTTTTTGGCACACCGCATGCTGCTGTGCTTGCAGCCGTCAGCATCGACCTAATAGGGGAAATGGCCCCCACGTGTAGTCACAGTTTTTTGTTTGGTCACAGGGTGAAGGGATTGAGGTCGCTTCCAGCAGCTCGAAAGCGAACGAAAGTCTCAGAGGAGAGACCTTCGTTTAGGAAAGGGATACAACCTGCTTCGACCGCACCTGCGCGAAAGCCTCATCCGAACTTTCCCTCCTTCGCGCGGCACCTCGCCATGCTTCCGCAGCGTGACGGCCGCAGCACGGCGAACGGCGCCTTCGGAATCGCCCACGAGCCTTTGAGTCAGAACGCGGTTGGGACCGAGTAGGGTTTACGGCATGGTGCTTAGTTTGAAGATGTGTTTTGGAAACTCCATTTTTGCAATCTCTTCACAGAAACCCGCTTGCATCCACCTATCAACGGCGCGCGTTACGGAAACAGGGAAGGGTTTCATGCTGCCACCGCTCACGCATGATGCGCAAGTTGCTCAGAATGCGTTGTCAAATCTGATAGCCAACGCTCACCTGTGCAAGTCAGAAGCCTGCAACAGCCTAACTACACCTGCAAGATTACTACAGTCCTGAGCTTATCTCGGAAAAAACAATGCCTAGGCACAGGCTTTAGGGAACTTTGCATAGGACGCTCGACGTCCAAACCCTAACCACTGCCGAGCATTTTGCACTCTCCTTTCAGCCATGCCACTTCACAAGACCAGGCGCGAAGTCCTCCAAAGAGGAACGCAGGCAGAGGGGCATCAAACTCCCGAAGATTTCGCCGCTTAGTCATGTCTTCGAGCAAGGGTTCTGGCATTGTACGAGAGTCTCTGCCTTAGCTTCGAACCCACCCCGTACCTGCAACTCCGGGCTCATGCCCCGCCAAGAACAGAGACCGAGCGAGAGAGAGAGGCAGAGAGAGAGAACCAGAACCAAAACAATAGAGAGCTTCGGGTTTCGAAACTTCTCTCCGACACCTATAGGTTTAAGAGGTTTAGAGGCCGGATCGCTTTCTTGATGCTAAGGGCTTTCGTTGTCCGTTGAAAGAAACAGGTAGGGAGCATCTTGAAAGTGACTACTAGTGCATGCTGCAGCTCTTTCAGTCTAATGCGGCCTTGCTTAGCAGTTGTCTTTTACTAGCGGCACTAGCGATGCATGATGAAAATATACTTTGAAACAAAAGGAAACTCTTTATAGATCTGTTTCACACGCAATCATTTCGCAACATAGAAAAATCAACCTGAAAGCACAACTGGATAGGATTTGCTCGCTCGTCCTTTCGTTCCCGCCGCCTTGCGACTTTCCAATCATGGCTTTCTAACACCATTAAGACCGTCCAAGGTATGGCATGGTTGCTACAGTTGGACACCCACGAAAGAGCCCCCACCACACGCAAAACCTTTTGCACGATCCTCGGCACCAGTCATGTCCTTCAACGCCTCTGCCGCAGCTGCCTGAATCGATGCAGGCTAAAGGGCCTATTAGATTCTTGAGCTCAGAGTCACAAGAAACCCAAGACCTGCCTGACGAACTCAAGACGTCCGAGCTGAGGGGCCAAGGCTGAAGTGGGTGGGGGCTCTCCGAGTTGAGGATTCTCCGGGGTTTGGCTTCGAGGCTTTTGGCTCGCTGTCTCAGGCAGACCAGTACCGCTGGGGCCCTGGGTTCTTGGCTTCGCCAACTGCCGCGAAGAAAGCAAAATGCCTTTCTGCTGCGCTGAGACGTATACTTCAGCGAAATCATGCCATCAACAGACCCAACACCTCAAAGTGCTTCAGCCCTGAGCTCTGAACCGAGGGCCTTGACCCGGCCGTCCTTGTGCCCCAGCAACTCAGCTACTGCACCCGCCTGAGCAGACAAGCCGAGGGGTGTTTAGGGCTCCGGGTTCAGAGTTGCACTTTCACAGTCCCGAGCTTCGACTTGCCAAAAGAAGAAAGAACACAAATCCAACATAGGCACGCCTCACGGTCCATCTCGGCAAGGCCACCACAAGCGGCGGCCACAACTTCGGCATCCGGGCCTTACAGTTCGGTGCCTTTTCGAGGTTCCCACCGCCATCTCCCATTCAAAGAATCAAGGCTGGTGTGGGTTTTGTTGTCACGTGCTGAGCCCCTGAGCGAATGAATGCACTATTTTGCGATTGGCTTCCGAAACTCCACGCCAAACCCCAATATACTATTGGACCCTATAGCCTTACATTGCAGCAAAACCCTCGACCCCAAACGCGACTGGCCGGTTCCGTCGAGCGTCTGCTGAGCTTCGCGGCGACCCTGTTGCCTGAGGTTGTGGCCTGTGTAAATCTCTGGGCCACAAGGGAGTTCACAACTATACATACATAAATATATATATATATATGTATATGTATATATCCCGGTATACATATATACATACATATGGGAGGGCTGTTGGGGTTGGATAGGGTTGAAGCAGTTCATAAGACACAGGCTCGGCTTTGCTCAGGATCCAGCGTGCTTTAACCCCCCAATTACCACAATTGGAACAAAGAGGCGTAGCAGGGTAGCGGCCTTTGCAAATGCAGAGGTACAGACCCCAAACAGTGTATTCCCAACTCGAGCGCACACCAAGAGCACTCAGCGGCAACAGCGACGACAACTCTGCACTTCACGCGGAGCACGCGCACCGGACCGAGACGACAGTGCCACTTGCAACACGTCGAAACATGCGAAGCGTGCTGGCGGCCCGTGTCGATGCTCACAAGGTGGAGACCAGGGCAGGGGGTGGGGGGGGGGGGCATTTGGGGCACGGAATGCCCTCATCTAGACGAGATTTGTAGGCCTCTGGTGTGAGAGGAACTTGCACTTTCAGCCATTGCCAACACCTCCAAGTTCTGCAAGGTGGCATCTCCTGTGGGATTTTACCCCCTGGCCAAGAATCAGGGAGAGCGACCCAGGCACAGGCCAGCATCTCCGCACCTTCATCTCTGGCCTGCTTCACACTCAACGAGATTGGTTGGCCAGCTAGCCAAGGCACTCTTCGACTCAGGGCCAAACCTCTCTCCCTCTCCCTCCCCCTCATCCGTCTCTTCTTTTTTCATCTTGATGAAGGGCAGAGGGAACAAAAACTAGGAAAAGGAACGCACCCCCTTCCCCAACCTATCTGGTGTGAACACAAAGGACCGAGCAGAAAGGAAAAGAGAAGAGAGCGGACACAGGCAGCGACCTCCTTTCATGGTTACTCCTTCTTTCTCCTTGTTGTCTTCCTTTTCTTGGGGAGGGGTGGGGAGCAACGAGTCAGTCCTTCCATACATATTCTATTCATCTTCCTCCGGCTTGGGCCTTCACAATGGTGGCGTAGGGTTCAGAATGTTCAGACAAGTCCCCCTATAAGCCCCGAACCCCACAAATAGGTTCTAACCCCACAGGTGGCCTTGCTTCACAATCCTCGCGAATAACTAGAAGGTCGGCAAGTTGACACCTCAAGAGCAGCATCGCCCACAGGCGAGAGAGCGATCTGGGCCCAGAACGAGAGCCACGCCTAGGCGAGAGCCGCTCGCCCGGGACAGCGCGTTGCACAGACACCTCAACCTAGCCCTCTTTGCTCTCAACCTCTCAACGTTGGGACCCCATAGTGCTGCCACACTGCTTGGGCATTTTGCATGTACCTTGTATAAAAGTGGTCATTCTCTGGGTTCAGCTGCAGTATCAACCGACTTCCCCGCTGCCTTCATCTTGCCTAGGGCAAGGCAAGCCTCAGCCTCGAGGTCTGGGTCCTGGTGGGCACGATGTTTCGGCTCGAGGCTTCAGAATAAGCGGCTTTAGGACGGGGTGCGCGATTTTGAAAGCCGGGCTGACGGTTCGGGCATGTTCGGACAGTCCGGGCAACTCAGGGATTTGGGTTATGGGCTCGGGCAGGTCAAGCTGGGCACGTCCTTCTGATCAAGGCAGGCCAGGATGTCGGAGCTGAACCTGGGGCGAGCTCACGCTCTTTTATTCGTGCAGCTTAGACCCTGGCCATTTCAAGCCCTTCAAAAATCATACCCCAACGTATCCCTCCTTTTCTCGGCGTTTCTGTCCCGAGAGGCTCGGAGGCCAGCGTGCGGAGGTTCCCCAGGGCACGGACGGCCGCCAGCTTTACCTTCGTTGGGGGCTTGGGAAGGCTTGGGGGGAGCTAAAAAAGCTGAATGGAGTTTCGGAGTTTAGGGTGTTTAGGGTTGGGGCTTGGGGGTTGGGAGTTAGGATGCTTTTGGGGTTCGGAGCGTCCGACTAGTAACCTTTGGGGCTCCACCAAAAATGGCGCCTAGTTGACAGTGGAATATTCGGGTTGAGGGGGCTCGGATTGCCGGGTGGGCCACTGACTTCACTGGGCTCCGGATCTTCTTGGCCATGCTGTAGCCTCGGCTGGGCCGGCAGGGCATTCTGAGGGGGGCAGCTTTTCTTCAAAAGGAGAGCAGGCCGCAACCCTTAACCCTTCCTCAACAACGTTGAAAAAAGTGTGTCGAGCCAGCCCAGCAACAGTGGCGTGCACCGCGATCACCTGCCCAAAGGCTCAGAGTTTGGGGTGTAGTGTATGGCTTCGGGATAAAGGCTCCAGTAAAAGTATGCTCAGAGACTCAGAGCGAGCCACCAAAAATAGACCTAAACCCCCCTTGACGCAAAAAGTCTCGAAGGCTCTTCCCTACTGCAAAGACTGCGGGGCTGAGAAAACTGGAGGCTGCAGCCGAACTCCATAGAGCCCACAAAGAAGCAGCCGCAGAATCGAAGGCCTTGATGGCTCAAAGTTCGCAGCACCTTGTGCGGTCGGCTTGAAGGCTCAGCTACATGGCACAACCAAAGCAATCTAAGTATGAGCCATTATGGGCCCAAAACGGGACCCTGATTCAGGCCATCTGAAATACAGCCCCATAACCTCGATGAGGACTTTGTGAAACCGGCGCCCTCCGCAAACTTCTCTGCACTGCCTCCTACAAGTCATGTTGTCAAGTGGAAGGTGTGACTGCGCTGCCTTTGGACCTTAAAATCAAGCATCCTTTCATGGCGGCCATGTGTGGCTCCAGCCTGCTCCTGAACCTCCATGCTCGCATCGTCAAGCAGAGGCACAACCTTTCAACTCCAGACGGCAGAACACCATATGCAAAAGCGGAAGACCCTAAACTGCCCCCTAAGCCCTGAAGAAACAAAAAAGACGGATGTCTCGTGCCCTGAACACCCGCAGGACTGATTGATTTGCCCCACTGGCATGCCGCAAGGCTGCTATACGGAACCTAGGTGATGTTTGCTCAGACAATATAAACCCGACAGTACTGTGAAGAGATGAGGGGTTTCCGAGTCAGGCTCGCTCACAGACTGCTTGAGTTGTTATCTTAGTACCGCCCCCGAACATCAAATGCTAAAGAAGCCAAAGAACAATCCGCATTGTTGTCGAAACAGACTCATGAGGCCAGAGTTCTCCGTCAAACAAAGCGTGTGCACCGAAAGCTCTACCCAGATTTTGTGTCGAGCACCCTCAAAAACCCTTGAGACCCGGCAAAACCAAGCAACGCGCGCCAAGTCAAATCAAGATAGCTCTCAGCAACATCCCCAACCCTGTCAACACCCCCAAACACCACTCTGCACCTCAACCTCATTCCTTCAAAAACTCCCCTCCCAATAATAAAAACAACCTGGATGCCTTTTCCTTAGGAACCCTTCTCGACGTGCCTGGAGGTCGAGCTGAAACTGCGCGGCCCGCGCGGCGCCAAACTGAGCCTGGCCAGCGTGCTTGGGTCGAATGGACACTCTCCAAGAGGGTTCCATGCCTTTCTTGATAAGTAGGAGAGTTCAGGAGGTCCCAGGACAATCCCGGAGGTTTGAAGGGCTTTCGGTGTCGTTTGTTTGTTGGACTTCAGGCTTCTTTGAGCGCTGAAGAGATGTCAGGCATTTTCAGGCTAGATTCTTCCAGAGTTGGGTTCTGCTCAGCGTTAGGGGATACGCGTGGAACATCGTCACCATCCCTTCAATCGAAACCTCAAGGCTTTCGCATGCGCTAACCATCCGACAAGTCCGAATGCCAGGAGAATGGAGTTCGTGGTTTATGCTTCACTGTGGATGCGGCCCTAAGTCCTCAAACCTAAACTGCTCTCACAAAACACCTTGATGAAACTGCGACAGCTTAGCAATCTTGATCAGCGCCCAGATCTTGACAGCTGTCCGTGGACCTAAGTGCCCGGGCGGGGATTCATGATTTAAGGGTCCTCAGCTCAGAATTCATAAGATTCAGCGTGCAGCCCTATTGAATGAAGACGAAAGGAAGCAAAGAACTGCCAACCCAAACATTGCTAGGACATCTTGTGCAGCGAGTCAGAACGCCAAAAGGGCTCGGGCTCTGCAGCGCGGCCAACACATCATCGACCGGAGAGGCCTCAAAGACCACGAAGCTCGGGGACTTAAAAGGAATTCGGCCTCCGTAGGGACGTCGGGGTCTTGAACGGAATTCCTGTGTCCTACGTCCGTCTCCTACTGTGCTCTCAAGGCTGAAAACAACCCTGGCCGGGCATCGAGGCTTGCAGAGTACAGGGTGCACAAACTCTCGAAGCCAACACATGTCTTGCAGACTCTTCAGGCTTTAGGCCTACACGGTCGCACCGCAACTGCCCCCGCCACTGACGCAACATCATAACACCCCGCAATGCCCCGCACCCCCCCCCCCCCGACTCCCGGCCCCAGAAGCCCTTGTCAGAAGATCCCACTACCGGACCACCTTCAAAGCCCAAGCCAAACATCAACCCCCCCCTCCAGAAGCCCAAAGGAAAGAGGAGCCGAAAGAGCCCCGACCCCTCACACCTGCTGCGCCAGGATGGGTGCCGCCATGGGGTTTCCGTGTAAGTCTCAAGGGGGTCTAGGTTGGAGGCTTCGGGGGCTTGGGGAGCTTAGGGGGCTTAGGGGCTTGGAGTGGGCACCTGTATGCAGTATATGCATCAGTATGCATGCAGCAGCAGAGTTTGACGGGCAACCTATGCTGAACCAAGTAAGGTTTTGGGGCTCAGGACTTCAATCTTTGGGCTCCGGAGACCTTGACCCGGACAAAGGTTGGGGGAGGTGCCCGAAGCTGCGAAGCCGGTGATGCGGCGCGGAGCCATCTGAAGGAGCTCAGGGTTTGGTTGGAGCTTTAGGGTAGTGGCATCGTCGTCGTCGGCGTCGTCGTAGTCGTAGTTGTAGCCATAGTCGTAGTCTTAGTAAGAGTAGTAGTAGTAGTAGTAGTAGTAGTAGTAGTAGTAGTAGTAGTAGTAGTAGTAGTAGTAGTAGTAGTAGTAGTAGTAGTAGCAGCAGCAGCAGCAGGAGTAGGAGTAGTAGTAGTAGTAGTAGTAGTAGTAGTAGTAGTAGTAGTAGTAGTAGTAGTAGTAGTAGTAGTAGTAATAGTAGTAGTAGTAGTAGTAGTAGTAGTAGTAGTAGTAGTAGTAGTAGTAGTAGTAGTAGTAGTAGTAGTAGTAGTAGTAGTAGTAGTAGTAGTAGTAGTAGTAGTAGTAGTAGTAGTAGTAGTAGTAGTAGTAGTAGTAGTAGTAGTAGTAGTAGTAGTAGTAGTAGTAGTAGTAGTAGTAGTAGTAGTAGTAGTAGTAGTAGTAGTAGTAGTAGTAGTAGTAGTAGTAGTAGTAGTAGTAGTAGTAGTAGTAGTAGTAGTAGTAGTAGTAGTAGTAGTAGTAGTAGTAGTAGTAGTAGTAGTAGTAGTAGTAGTAGTAGTAGTAGTAGTAGTAGTAGTAGTAGTAGTAGTAGTAGTAGTAGTAGTAGTAGTAGTAGTAGTAGTAGTAGTAGTAGTAGTAGTAGTAGTAGTAGTAGTAGTAGTAGTAGTAGTAGTAGTAGTAGTAGTAGTAGTAGTAGTAGTAGTAGTAGTAGTAGTAGTAGTAGTAATAGTAGCAGTAGGAGTAGCAGTAGCAGTCGTAGTCGTAGGAGTTGTAGTAGTAGTAGTAGTAGTAGTAGTAGTAGTAGTAGTAGTAGAAGTAGAAGTAGTAGTAGTAGAAATAGTAGTAGTAGTAGTAGTAGTAGTAGTAGTAGTAGTAGTAGTAGTAGTAGTAGTAGTAGTAGTAGTAGTAGTAGTACAGCAGCAGCAGCAGTACCAGGAGCATTTGTTTGATGTTGTAGGAGGAGTAGTCACAGTCGCCGTCCTCGTAGTAGTTGTAGTAGTAGTTGCGGAGAACGGGTTCAGGGTTGGGGCTTAGGGCAGTCTACCTATGATCCAGATCTTTGGAGAGTGTCATGGCCAATGGTGCCCGTGCAGATGTCTTCGTTGCAGGGAGGACCTTTGATACCATCCTCAAAGCAGAGCGAGTCGCATTACAAAGGACCCCTGCACCAGCTCCCCAACTTCCCAGCTCCAGAAGCCCCAAATCAACTGAACAAAACTGCTCTTTTCTCCTGCAGCCGCAAGCTTCGTTCGCTCTTGCGCTGTGGGCTTTGGGTTGGTCAGGCAGTTGTCACCTGCCTTCGGGCAGGAGGGCTGGAACTTGGTTTGGAAAAAGGTGACCTCTTCTTGCAAGAAACTGCCTTGGGCTCAGCCTAAACAACGACAACTTAAAACATCTACAGCGCTTAGATATCTAAGTCATAAGACTGCACGCATGCTGACAACAATTACAGTATGGGTCATCTGTCATACAGTCGTACAGGCCACAGCCTCTCTCCGCCAATACCCTCCTACCTGCACAAAAGGGCCTTTGGATACCTTTGGCCTTCAGCTGCGCCCCGATATTCAGGGCCAGAGTAATTCAAAGAGGGCTTGTGTGTTTTCTTTTTTTTTGGGGGGGAGAGCACAGGGTAGCAATTAAAAGGTCAGCCTCATCGCGCAGCTGCCTCAGACCCACACAAACTCGGAGTCCACTATCTCCGCGGGGAACCTGCTATAGGGCAGCGGCTCGAAAACGGCTATATACTACTGTGCTCTCCTCGCTGTCTCTCTCTCTCTCTCTCTCTCTCTCGCTGCTGTGGGTGTTGAGGGTTGACCCCCCCGCATGAGGACGATGGTGGCGATGCTGACAAGCAAGCAGGGTATGAAGAACAGGCAGGTCTCCTGGCAGGGCTCGAAGAGGCTCTAAGCTCTCGAGCTACCGGAGTGAGGGCTCATTGTTGGCTCCGCCATGTGCCACAAAGCAACCCTTTAGAAGGACCGCTTTCGTTTATGGTCCCCGGCCCTTAGTTCGAGCCGAAATTGTTGCAAGATTGCAGCCAGATGGGCTCACATGGCGCTGTTCTCAAGCGCTCTTCGGGCTTCTGCCTCGGCACATGTCACAGCACACCCACGCGTCCTGCCGGGCCTTGTTGAGCATCACGCCTGGTGGAGGACACAGCGAAGCAGAACCCAGCCGGCTCGAAGTCTGAGTCATGAAACCGGTCACAACGGCCGTGTCCCCATCTCGGGCATACTTGTACGAGTCTTGTACGCCACAAGCGGCACCCGACGTCTTGAGACTCTCAAGCCACAAAGTCCGACACCTCGCATACTGCACTTCAAAACTCCCAAAACCTCCCGGCCTATAGAGACGGCTACGGAGGCCCACTGCTTGATACGCGCCTGGAAGCGGGGAAGAAGCCGCTGACCCTCCCTAACCCTGTACACTTACTTGACTGGCTACTGGGTTTCTTGGTAAGCACACATGAAGCTCTGAGGAAATTAGGAGGCGGAACCTCAACGTGCATCCTTGCAGGGCTTTGGCTTGGGGCTCACGAATGCGGTGGGTTCAAAAACAGCCACTTTAAACTTGCAGGCACTTGGGCTGCTCACGAGTGAAGCTGAAGATACGCAGTAGACCAGCCCCATCGACGAAGGCAAAAACAAAAAGAATTCGCCTCGGCTTCCCCGCCCTGTGGGACCCCCCCCAATCCCTTGGAGGAGCTGCAAACCGATGCCGTGGAGGGTCCCGCTTGTCGGTGGCTCCTACAGGGGGAGTGCCTCAAAAACCCCCCGCCCCACCCCCCCCAACCCCCCCCACCCCCCCCCCCCCCCCCCCCCCCCCCCCCACCCGCTCTGCCCTTCCTCCCTTTTTTTGCGAAACCCTCTTTCCTCCTTTCCTGTCCTGGGGCCGGCCCGGCTGCCGAGGCGGCGCGCGCAAGCGTTTACAATTAAAGCTAGATGCGGAAACAGAGCCATAGGTTTTGCACAAAGGCAACCCAGACTTCCTGCTCCACCCGGGCCAGCCTCTGTGCTGAGGTCTTCAAGGGTCCAGCGAAAGTACAGCGATTGCAAAATCTCAGTTGGGCGACGCATCAAACTCTGAAGTGCGCACAGTGTACAGCCAAAAGGTTTGGGCCTTGCGTTTGCGTCAGTGGGTTTTTTTTCAGTGTGTGACCAATTTTGAACCAGGCTACAACGCACAAAATATTCTACTGAGGGATCATCTTGCAGCCGGCTTCGGAAAGTCGACCATACAACAGTATTTCAGGTCTACACGACACGGGAAGCACGTGCTGCGAGGCCCAGGAGCCCAACAATTCGGGTAGGGGCAGAAGCGAACCCTCGAGGTAAATCCCCAAATCAGAGTCCCTGGCAACCAAACCATCTCCACGATGGACGGCAATAATGGACCCAGCAGCGATACACTTCAGCAAACAAAACAATTGCGCAAGAGCCAGGGCTGCGTGGGAGCCTGGTCAGGCAGAGACCTTCACAAGATACTTAAACAAGGTCACGGCGCGGTTAGCGGCCGTGGGCCAAAAGCACACCAAACTGTGGTTTGAACCCACGCAGGACAGTGTTTCGCTATTGAAACGTGTTTTTCGGACACGTCTTTTTTTTGTTAACTTGCAGTGAATCTTAGGCATTGTTGTAGTCAAAACTACCACGCCTGCCAGTGTTTTGAGTATTTTTCATCATCGTATTATGAGTAGGTTTTTTGCGCGTTTGCTGTGTTTTTGCGGTTCTGTGTTGTGTGGTTGTTTGGGTCCTTGGGTCCTCGCACTCGCTCTCCTAACCGCTTCCCCAGGCTTAGCATATAAGGTTTAGGGTTGTCAGGGTATAGGGTTAAGGGTTTGTGGTATTGCTTGGGGTGCTGTGGTTTTCCTCGACGGCGCACCTCAAGGTCCGCACCAGATGGGCCCCATTCGAGGCGGCACCGATGCAGAGGGTGTACAAAATAGAGATTCACGCAACCGTCGAACAGAAGCTCTGCAAGCCTCTACTTCCTTCCTCAAACCTTCTAGACCTGGCCGCTACAAACCCGCCAAGCCTCGCCCAAGTATTTCCCGCACAACCCACAGCGTTTGGCGAGATTAGGGGGCATTGCGAAAATGCTGGACGTGTTGACTAGAAGAGTGCATGTCCTGTGTCAATGCTGGAAGTGTGGACTAGAAGAGTGCGTGTAAAAGGCTGGAACTGTCAATGCTGGAAGTGTGGACTAGAAGAGTGCTTGTAAAAAGCTGGAACTGTCAAGGCTGGACTAGAAGAGTGCATGTAAAAGGCTGGAACTGTAGACTGGAAGAGTGTACATAAAACACGGCAAGAAACAGAGGCTATCTGAACCAGAAGCAAGGAAGAAGAAGCGTGAAGACATGCCCGCAACCACCCCCCCCCCCCCCCCCCCCCCCCCCCCCCCCCCCCCCCCCCCCCCCCCCTCCCCAACAACCCGAAAAAGTTGTAAAAGTAGCGTTTCGCCCACGGCCGCTAACCGCGCCGTGAGCTTAAACAACAGTGAGCCAAAACACCATCTGCGGGAGCTGCTCGGCGATGGTGGTCGCAAAGTTTCGGTTGCTGGCCAGGCCATTGTCGTTCACATTGTCTCGCCCTCCTCCGCAAGCGTCGAAGGTTCAGGATCAGTGAAACCCCTGCTCTTGTCCCAAATTGGCTAGAAGGAGGCGCTTACTTGGTCTTTGGGTGCCTCGCCTCATGCGCAGGAACCAAGGGCACAACAAATTGCAACAACAATAGGGCAACGCGGGTCTCGCAAGTTCCGGCTTCGGGGCCTTGGTATTCATCCTCAGCCCTAACAGGAAAACGGCACGCTCAAGCGAAATGCAACACGAGATCGACCGCGAGGTCGCGTAGAGCTGTAGGTGCTTTGTTGGGAATGGCAAGGCACTGGGTTCCTAAAAGATCAAAAAGAAAACCGGGCAGACATAGGAACCTGAACCCTGTGTCTCGAAACCTTCAAGTTAAAGGCAGATCTTGGGACCCTAAAAGCCCCGAACCGACCCCCCGAAAGCTGGCGGGCCGCCGAAGCGTGCGACGTAGCACGTGTCACCCAGCCAGGCCATGCCTTGAAGCTCGCAAGCCATCCACACCTGGCTCATATTAGACAGTGGGTCGCTGCTGGCTTCAGCTGGGCTTCAGCTGGGCTTCAGTTGGCTTTTGGACCCAAACAAGAAACCTCAGGAAGGCCGGGCATGGCGGGGTCAAGATGCTTTTGGCACCAGCTGCTGGCTTTTGCCGAGTTCGGGGCTCGAGGCCCAAGGATTTTGTAAACTTGCACTTTGCCTTCGCACCAAATCCGAAAACTGGTGAGGACCCTCCGACCCAAGGAGAAGCCGAACCCCACTGAACCCAGATTGGGCGTCCTTGACAAGTGGGATGTAGACATTGCGGCCTTTCGCCTCGGCTGAACCCCTTGGGTTCAAAGGATCCAAACAAGAACAACCGAAACTGTCCGAGAAAAGTGTTGGCTGCTGATGCCGCGGGCCGTGTTCATCGCGGAAGTCTCAGTACAGGACTTTGAAGCACTTTAGCAGAAATCTTCAAGCCGCCAAGATCCACCAAGCCTGGGTTCGAAAGCTTGGCACCCCATTTCAGCCAAGCCGCCATAGCCATGGCAGAAGCCTGGGAGCAGCCCAGTTGCACCACCACAGCCAGGATTAGACTGACCTCCGCCAAGGCCACAAATCCACAAAGCCCCCGGCTTGCGGCTGGCAAACGGAGGTTTCAAGGCTCTGTAGCAAGCCTTCAGCCTTCTCGTCACACCGAGGTCCCCTTGTTCAAAGCCTATTGTGGTCAGTAAGGGTTGGGATCAGAGGCATCGTATTATCGCCAGGTGGCAGTGCTGGCCGCGGCCAGAATCTTGTAGCCAGTGGCGTAGGCCGTGGCAACGAAGACCACATCCAGGAAGAGATCCTTGAAGAGGCAGCAAGGCAGCTTTCTAAAGGCTCAAGGCACGGCGGTAAGGTTAGGATCTGCACGATACACTGTGATATGTTTTGACACTCAACTTGGCAGGGGACCCAGGGCTGCTCAACTGACTCAACCAGCTTCGGCCAAGGTGCCAAATGCTCCATGACACCGTTGAAGAGGAGCATGACCTTGATATCTCGAGTGATGTTGGGACCATACCGAGCTTAGGGTATTAGTGGGCTAGGGGAACTATATAGTTGGGCATCGAAGATACCAAAATCACGGCATGGTCGGGTCTACATGGCTCTGCAAGCGGTGATAACAGTCACTACGACTTCCCGACACTACTCAAACCACCTTTTCTAAACCGACATGAACCAAACCCACGCCCAAAGAACCAAATCTCTAGAACCATACAGAACCTCTGGAACCCCGAAGCCCTAGAACCCTGAAGCCAAGCCACGGGATTCTGAAAGAAGAGGCCCCACTGCTCCTTCCGCTGAGACCCGCTCGGGCCCGGCAAGTTTGGAATTTGTGGGAGGCGGAGTTCAGTGTTCTGGGCAGCATGGACGATGAGCCATACAATGATGATACCGACGTTTGCAGGTGACTGCTGGGTGGACCCGCCCTTTTCAGAGGCATCTTTCTGGCGTCTCGGGAGTTGGCCCAAGTTGGCCCAAGTTGGCCCAAGGCTCCTTCTGGATCTGGTTGGCGACCGGATCCTCACAGAATGGGGTCCCCAAAGGTGAACTTCGGGGGGAAAAAAGAAGGGCATCAAAGGTGAAGAAGCGGGGCGGGAAGAAAAGAACGAAAAGAGCTTGAGGGTTGGGAATGTTGGGATTGAGGCCTGGCTGTGGTAACATGTGGCGTCTGAGCTGCCAGCCATGTTCTTCCAGTGCTGGAGGAAATAAAGCTCGATGCCCTTGTTGACCAGCAGGAGGGGCACGTACCCGAGGTAAAAGAGAATTGGGAAACCTGTCAATTCGGTCCTTCTAGTTCCCTGAGGATCCCGTCCAAAGAACACACCCCCACAAACGCAAAGCAGCGACTCGGAGCATGCACATGCCCTTGACAGCCTAGTTGCGCCTTTTGGTGCTAACACCCTGAACCTCAAACTTACCTAAAATTAACCCAAATCGCCACATACAGCCATCCGGTTGCTTGGATACTGTATCCATTGTACGCATTTCCAACAAACAGCAAAAAAACATGCTTCACTGTGTGGCACGTGTTCCTTTGTGGGTATTCGAAACGGAATCCACCCAAACTCTTCGGGGCCTGCTTCCTTCGTTGTAAAGAAAGCACCGGCTATGCCTGAGCTGTTCTGCTGTCGCGTGACTTTAGGCCATCATGCTGCGTCACTGGGCAATTTCAAGGTGGCATAATGTTGCGCTTGCACTGGGCAACCCAAAATGGAACCAGATCCCTGCACCGTAAAACACTCCTCCCACCTCGGGGCCTTCGGCGAACCTTCAACTTTTTATAGGGTCAGAGGGCCCATCAGAGGCAGGCCGACGAAGAAGATCAGCCTCGGCTGACACTTGTCGTGGTAAACCAACTCGCAGTAATCCACAACTCGCCTGCATCAAGGACTGGCTTTGGGAGAACATGCAGACTCGCTGACTCGTTTTCTTTGTGCAGTCTGTGCGGCTCACACTGCTGCAAGCAGCCAATCATCTGATTGATGAAGACATCCAGTTGTTGAAACTCCTGCATGTGGCTGTCCTTATCTTACTGCTTGTGATGTTGAAGTCCACACCGTGTCGAAATCATAAAACCCCTAAACCTCAAAACCGCCGGTCCTTAAGGTAAGATCTGCACCAGACCACACGTTGAGGACCTAATCGCAGTTCCTACTCTCGCACCCCAAAACGACCATAACTCAACATCCAGCACGTGACAAGCGTTCAACGAAGGGGTTGGGACGATGTAAAGGGCAGCTGGGGCTCAATGTATGCTTACTCGATGCCCCGAAGCTTCCAAAAAACCATGGGGCAAGAGGTTCAACGGGGTCCTCTTCGGAGATTTCATGGGACCCCTTCATGGGCATCTGCAAGTCCGGCTGCTCCACCTGAACCAAGACTGTGGCTCGGCGGCTCGGATGTCTTGTATCACTGCAACGACAAGGGCTCGATGCTTCAGCAGATCTCAATCCGCCACCGCTATCTTGTATGCCTTGGACCTTCTTCCTATGTCCCAGGCCCCCCTCGCTGACGCCTGAAACCCCACAAACAACAAGCCTGCGTACCTTTGCGTCCATTTTGCACGACAAACAAGCGAAGACCGTCCTCGAGGAGCCCTCGTGCAGAGTTCGGCATGGAGGCAGCATCCTCGCAACCACCGAAGGCAAGGTTTCGGGATTTGTCAGCTCTCGAGGGAAATTGTCCCCCCGTACCGTCATTCAGGAGTTTGGGGGATTTAAAGGCTTCCTTGAAGCTTATCCGATCGAACGAAATTTACCTGTCAACACATAGATCAACCTTTCCACACGAAGGCAGCTGGACAATGTTTTTTTGGCTTCTTTGGAATTGTTTATGCGCTTGTCATTTAAAGTCTTCGCCTCGGACCGAGCGCTCAGCGGCTGCGCTGCTTCCATGGCGAATCCCACTGACAAAGCCCTTTACAACCGCCGCTGTGAACCCTGCATATGTGAACCAGGAAGTACCAGAACACGCACACCACAATTCCCATGAATCGTCATAACCATGTAGACATCGTGCGGTGACTATGGATCTTTCGGCTCAAACTTTCAACCTGCATGCTGCAGATGCCGAAGTTCCAAGACAAATAGAAAGCAAAATACAATGCCCACCCTGAAGACATACCAAGCAAATGCGACAAGCCCGCCGTGGTGCAACCAACGTCAACAGCTTGCAAAAGCTTTCACGTCTTCGTGCGAAAATCAACATAGCCGCTCTCCAGCCCTTGATCACGTGACACACTACTTGCCTGCCCTCCCAGTACATGGGATACCTGGACTTTCTTGTTTTTCGGCATGAACCAAAACCTCCGCCCCCATCGCCGTTGACGAAATTTGAAGCAAGCCCACACAACAGTTTCATGTGGGGAGGCACAAAGAATACATCATGAAGGTTACTCACCGACTTCAAGCAAACGTTATAGAAGAATGTTTCGTTGCTTGGCACAAAAATTTGCGAATGGCCCGTTTTGAGTTTCGTCACGAGCATTGGCATGATCAAGAAAGCATTGGAACTTTGACTCCCACCAGTTTCACAACCACCACAGGAAAATGCCGCATGTTTTGCCAGGTTGTTGCTTCAAGCGAAGTCCCAAATTAAAGGCACAAGGATTCAGCTGTCAATCGTGACTGCTCTACGAAGACAAGAAACAAGGAAAATGCAGAAAACCAAAGAAAACCAGCTTCGTGCGCCCCCGGGTACATGCAGTTTGTTACGCTTCGTGTGGCTTGGGGCAGCCTCAGCTTTTTTGGTTTCGTGTGGTTTTGGGCCAGCTTGCCGGGAAACTTAGTTTACGCCGCGCAGCTGGGCGCAGGGGCGTGACCAGCGCATTTGGAGGGACAGGGATCAAAAAATCATAGACTTCTATTCGAGAACAGAGTATCAATACAAAATATCCGACGGTAAAGGCAAGCCCAACTTTTGGTTCTGGAATAGGTTGGCTTCGTGGTTTTTGGACTTGTTGGTTGTCATTTGTTGGTCTTTAATGGTTTTGCTCGGCTTGTGTTTTTCTGTTTCTCGATTTTTTGGCTTCTTGATTTCGACTAAGTATTCTTTTTCAAATGCTACTCCATGAGTGTACTCAAGGGAAAAGATTACTACTATGTTCATTATATGTGTATTTTACAATATTCATTTGTCTAAGTTTGTCCATTCGTTTGATCTACATGCTCTATTTACGTAAAATTTATTCGGAGATTGTAACTATGGGAAAAATTGAAAAACCGAATTTTCTGCATTTCAAGAACAAATGTTGTATCATAAAAGCTCTCGGGGTTTGCTTCTTTTCGAAAAAATGTTGGAACTATCAAAATTGCTGGAGTTCATATAGTGTTTGTATTTTTCAAAAAATTTTCCCTTGGCACTATTGAACCGATTTATGAGTGTTCCAGTATTTTGTTCTTCGTATTATTCTAAACATTTTCTGACGAAGAAAAGATATATGTCTTCGTCATCTGAGAGGCCGTAAATTTTCGAAGACAAAGCTGGCCGCTGCTTTTGCACGAGTGGAGACTCTACCAAATGCAGAAGATGGATTCAATTTGAGCCATATTCTCTTCGGAGACACTGGCAGAACTAAACACCCACACAATCATACCAAGATTTCAATCAAATCAATAACAATACTTCGGTCTCCTTAAACAGGGAAAACGATTCTATGAGTGAGCCCGAAAAATTTGTGAGCCTTGAATTAAGGGCACCTTCCATAGGTAGAAAAGGCCTGCAGATCGGAAGTCGTTCATAGTTCATTCGGTAAAGTAATTCGACACCTGACGCGACACGGCCCACTGCTCTTCTTCATCCAGCATGCGAAGGTGCCTCTACTACCACTACTACTATTACTACTACTACTACTACTACTACTACTACTACTACTACTACTACTACTACTACTACTACTACTACTACTACTACTACTACTACTACTACTACTACTACTACTACTACTACTACTACTACTACTTACTACTACTACTTACTACTACTACTTACTACTACTACTTACTACTACTACTTACTACTACTACTACTACTACTACTACTACTACTACTACTACTACTACTACTACTACTACTACTACTACTACTACTACTACTACTACTACTACTACTACTACTACTACTACTACTACTACTACTAACTACTACTACTACTACTACTACTACTACTACTACTACTACTACTACTACTACTACTACTACTACTACTACTACTACTACTACTACTACTACTACTACTACTACTACTACTACTACTACTACTACTACTACTATACTACTACTACTACTACTACTACTACTACTACTACTACTACTACTACTACTACTACTACTACTACTACTACTACTACTACTACTACTACTACTACTATTTTTTATTGAACGCTGAGCGAGCGGGCTCTGCTCATTGCGGGCGATTTGCACCGTCCGAGCACCGAAAATTGGGTTGGAGCTAGACAAGGTGTAGCTTAGCGCTCAGATGTGAAAAGGTCTTCTCCCCGTCGTCCTAATGTGTTTCACTGCGTCCAGCAAACACGCACCGATCTGCAATTGGGTCGTACCTGTTGGCCGTCGCCCATAGTGTCCATCTAGCGGCGTCCCACATGGATCACTTTGCAGAAAGGCAGAGGATCGTAGGAGGATCAGCTGGCTTGGAATAACACATTTATGTGGAGCTTCGGGCAGTGGGCTTGCTGCCGGGAGGGCAGCACGCTGATGTCACCTTGGGATGCAGGGGAATGCGATTCAACTCTTTGCGGTATAAGTTCGTTGATGCAGGGTGAGCAGTTTTCCAGCTCTGCGAGTTCCGCTTCGTAGCAAAGGAAGCAGAGCATTGTGCATGCAGACCCCAGGGGTTAGAACTGCAGTAAGTCCCATCCTTATGTGCGTGTAAGGATGCGCTGCTCCGAGTCTCGTGGACTCGGCCGGCGGTCCACCGGGGTAAACCGCTCAATGCGGCAATTCCGGCATCCGCACCTCATGCTTTATTTCAACAGGAACGGTTGAGGCCAGCCACAATCCCTTCTTCAATGAGTGGGGTTAATACACAGTTACCGTTTGGGATCTTTGCGCGGCTACTTAGCTTGAACTGCTCCTCTTCTCAACATGGAGAAAGTTGACATGTAGGCGAGTCCCAATCAGGCAGTAGAGCGCTGATTGTGTAGACGCCATCGGCTATGACGGCGGTTTTTCCCCTATGACTGCTTGGAAAGGATGTGCTGCGCAGCGTCTCGTGGACCCCGCTGGCGGTCCACCAGGGTAAACCACTCAAGGTGGCAATTCTGGTATCCGCACCTGTGTGGATTATGAACGTAAGAACGTTTCAGGCCAGCCACATCCCTTGATTGAACCACTACTGGGATTCGGGCATTTTTTGCATTTGCATACGCAGCTTCGGGTAAGGAAGCCTAGCGCGACACAATGTACAGAAAAGCACATGCCAAGAGCATGCGGCCAATCGTGATGGCAGGTGAGAAGTAAAATCCTCTGATGTACATGTTCGGTGAGGGATAGACCCCGCATCGAGATGCAAGCAGGTCAGAAAACGAGCAATTGACCCGGTCCTTAAACCTCGCAGTCCATCAGATTAAAGCTGTACAGCCTACACATTGTTCAGAAATGTGGTGTGAAAAAGCAGATCAGGTGTGCTTCGCGAACTCATGTTGTAGCGGAAGTAAATGTAAGTACCTGCAGTTGTGGGAGGTGCCCTCGACCACATATGCTGGCATTGTCTGCATGATTACCCTCACATGCGTGTAAGGAAACACATGTAGCATTCATGGTGAATGTGGTGCAGAAGGTCATCTGTGCAGCTTTTTGCTGGTTGGCCGTCGTCGGTAAACCAGGTGTTGGTGCTCAGCGGTGCATCACTTAAGAAGGCCCGGTAGTGACCACATTTGGTGTCGCGCCCTGCATGAGTGATACCTGCAAGGATTCGGTACGGCATCCATTGCACCGTGGTACCATCTCTGCAAAATACAGGTACATATGTGATGTTCCCTGGATCAATGCGAACACAGACCCTGTTTTTGCGAATCCTTCCGGCCTGCTCAACATATCTCGGCAAGTGTATGCATAACCAAAGAGGCGCCTGCACCAGGGCATGTATGAAGGGCTGTCTACACCAAGCTGCAAGACAGGAATCCAGGTCCGTTGTTCGTTGTGGCAAAGGAACAGTTATTCCTGCAGAGAGTGTGCCCTGAAGCTCTCGGATGTATCGTCCGGGGCCCTCAACTGCAGTCCTCGCCTCCCAAACTCCTTCGAAGACAGGCGCTCTGGCAAAATCCTGGAGATATATCCAGAATTCATGAGCATCGTTTTGTTGGTGTAGTTGGGGCCATGTCAAGAGTATGTGGCGCCATGCAAGCATGCCGGCTATATATGGTGATGTGCTATTTGATGCCAGGATACGTTGAAAAGCTGCGGAAGCTCGTCCAAAGAGTGTACTCGATTCACCTTGAGTTTTCGCCGCAAGCCACAACCATGCACTGACAACGGAATTCAGATAACAAAGGTTGGTGGGATTACGCAACGCCAAGGTAGTGACCACTTGAGATATCGGCTGAGGGTGTCCGCCAGCGGTGACATCTGGAGTCGCGGGTGATGAACACGTAGACCCACTAGCTGCAATGCCGCTACCCCTTGGATCCTGGCGAGAGACTGGTACAGTGTTTGTGCCCCAGGCTGCCTCAGCCCCACCTCCGCTACGAAGGTCAGTTGGTGTCCCGCCAGTTCCGCTGCCAGCCTTCTGGTCGCCTGAAATCTGTAGAGGGCTCCAGGCAGCATGCAACTCTGTTGGATGGTTTCGATCAACTTTTCCAACTCCTCTTGCGTGATGCCCTGTCCCTCGATCTTGTCCAGCTGCTCCGTCTCGGCATTCCAGCGTAGGAAGTTCCAG